AAAGATTGATGATGATCATGAAACACCTCAATAAATCTCTGACCCAGACTGGGGTGTATATAAGTATATTGACAAGAAAAAATGAAAAGTCATTTGAGGATTTAAAGAAATGATACTGTCATCTTCAAACCACTTAAAACACTATTATAGTGTCCAAATGAAAGCAGCTGATATTTCACATGTAGCATGTTAGAGTAAAGGATGAATTGTTTTGACTGAGCCCCTTCTTGCCTGTTAAGTCTCTCTCCCCATTAACGTCATCTGACAGCTCAGATGACGTTAATGCTCTGCTTGCCTAAATGTCTCCTGCCGGGGGAAACAACAATACACCGCAGAGAGGAGCGGGTCTGAGGGCGGAAGAGGAGAGAATGATTTGCCCCTCTCATTTCTTCATCTCCTTCAGAGCGGCATTCATCACCATTAGTGTTCATTAACATGAGTTAGTGATTGTTAGGCAGCAGTGTGCCAGCAGGCATCTGTAGCCTGCCGCCAGCATATCTCCTCGCTGTAATAGACACTGACTGAATGTGAGAGTGGTGGAGGGATGTGGAGATGATGGCGGAAGGAGGGATGGTTAAGCAGGGTAAGGAGGGACTTGTCAAATTGTGCCTCATAAGATTACTCTTAATTTCAAAACGGTTTTAAGTAATAAAAAATAAAACCTCAACTGTCTCAGTGGTGAACTTGCACCAGTGCAGCAGTGAAAGGTAACAGAACACAGCAAAGAATAAAGAACAGAAATGAGCTGTTATGACAAGTCTTTTGGTATATTAGGGCACGTTTAGAAAAGGTCTTTATCATTACAGACATTTTGACTTGTCATAGAAAAAACACAGGTCACTAATAATTCTATGAGTGTTAATGAGTGTTATGCTTAGTCAGGAACAACGCCAGGACCATGAAACTAAGGCTATGTACACTCATATGAAAGCGATCTCCATCCAGAGGTGCGTTGTAGCTCTGTATCAGAAATAATCTCCATCCATACTAACGCATATCACTTTTTTTTTTTTTTTTTTTTACACAGGAGGACAGTCTCTATCACATTGGGAGCATATATTTGGGTATAATGTTTTTTACTGTCTGGCTTTCCTTTTGCAACTTACAGTATACACTTATAAACAGTCACCAGAGAAAGCTCATACATTGAATAATTCAGGGCACAACAGTGTGAAAGACAGTTTGTTGAGACAATGCAAGCACTCTGCATCAGTGTCGTCCCAGTTGGCCGAGGTAGAGGCTATTGTACAGAAAAGACTTGAAGCCTGAATCGCTGGACCATGAAGAAATAAGACCTAGGCTAAAAGGTCTTCTGTAGCGACACCATGTCACCATGGAGAGGGTAAAAAAACCTTGTTTCAGACGGTTGAGAGTTTGTTTGTTATTCATCCTCCCTTCTGTTATTGCCTGTCAACATATCCGTGTCCTTCTCCTGCGCTCACACACATCCATTCTTCCTCCCTCTCTCCTTGAGCCACTGTTCACACCTGCAGCTAAAGTAGCACCTTCTCCTGCTTTAATTATCTCTCAGGGCAGGTGGGCACATCATATTTCTCTTGCAAAGACTGGTGGCAAATAACCTCTCCCTCCCTTAACAGCCACTTTGCTGCTCTGAAAGAGCCATTTTGTCTGATGACCTGTATCAATTAAAGCAGTTGAAAATTGCCACCCCTCCTGATGCAGGGCGCACTTTCTACACAGAGCGAAACAGCAGGTATGATGACATAGTGACACCAGCTGGCACCACTTCAATCCCTCTGGCAGCAGTGGCACTATGAAGGACGGTAATGGAGGAGATAGATGTTTCTGAAAAGCTGCCATTTTATGGTCCTAACTGCTCTATTTGACTTATACAGGAGGCAAAATATGAGATGTTTTATATTCATAAAACGGAACAAGTGGTGCTGTTCTGCCCGTTTCTCCCAACATCAAGGAAGATAGAAGAGTTTTGTTCAGTTCTGTACAGTGAGACAGCGAATACGTATTATTTTAATCATTGATGAAAATATGAATTATTAATTTGATTGATTGGAAGAGTGTACTCACAGTTTGACTTCTCCTTTGTAGCTTTTCAAATCCTCCATCCTCCAAATCCATGTGATGCTGATTTTTTGGCTGGACCACAACAGTGGGGGCCAGCACTATCAACACAAATATCCATGACTGACTGAGTGATGAGGTTAAACCATTGGTTGGTTTTTCCCCATTGGTTATTACATGACGCTATTATTATCATCAAGGGGGTATTTACAAGCAATGTTGCCAGCTTAGCGCCTTAGTTGCTAGGTTTACCTGCTTTTTAGACCTTTCCTTTAATTTTTCTCAAAATAACCTTTTGGACAAACCTTTATCTATTTTCTGTAGAAGAGAGTCTATTGGTTGGGCATTTATATTATGAGAAGTGTAAATATATTTTGGGTCCAATATGGAAGTAGTTACTGTTCTGGATTTACCAGATAGTAAGAGAGAATACTTTTCTGCAGTGCCTCATTTATGTCCAAGAGACATCGATGATACAATGTTGTGCAACACACAACATGCCACAAAGAACGCTCCGACCTTCTGAGGCTCTATTGTAATGTTCCACCTGACAATCATCTGAAGCACATTTTCAGCACACTCTGCTTGTGCGTAACAGGCAAAGAGTACACGTGTTGTGCACCTGCCTATGTAGGCACACATTACTCTCTTGATAATGCGTCCTTAAAATAACAGTGAAATACTGCACCAGTGACTTCAGACCAGTTTTTCGTTGGTCCGTCACAACAATCGGTTTCTGCTGCCTCAAGATAGCAATGCTCCAACAATGCGCCTGACCATACCTCATTTGAAGACCAACCATGGGTGCTCAGGTGGGCGCAAGTGTATTTGCTATTTAAACAACGTGGGCACTGGATAGGAAGATGACAACTGCATGTGTCTGATACTAGCAAAGACACTTGGGTTTCACTTTGCGCTGCTTTTCACAGGGTGTAAGATAGGACCCTTTGTCTTTATGTCTATGGTGAATTTGTCAGATGATGTCAGAGTTATAAAATCTGAATGTTAGCAGTGCAGAGCAGCAGCTTGGAAATGGCCTGGGAGTTAACATGTACTATAAATGGGCTCACTGTGTCATACTTGTTCCATTGTCTGACAACAGAAACAGAAAACATGTGAATGAGAACAGCTTTAATGGGGATTCGGCTGTGTACGTGAGCACAGAGAGTAGGATGGAAGCAAATGGATAAAAGGGCTGAAACCGGCTGAAACTACATCAAATGAGGTCAAATGAGACATGATGACGTCATGAATGTGCCAATTAGCTTATTATTTTTATACATATTTTATATTATAACTTTTCCAGCAGGCTTTAGCTACTTTCCACTGAAAGTTGTTGTGAAAGCTATTATAAATTCCAACGCTACAAAGTTGTTAATTTCTAATTATTTTCTTTTAATTAGCTGAATCATTACAGGGAATATGTCTGGGCAGCCAAGATGTAAACTGCTGTGTTCTGGAGGATGGACTGCATTGAAAACCTTTTTTTTTTTTTTTATTTATTTTTTAATAAAGCTATATGTTCTCAGCACACAGTTTCTGTTCAAGGATCTCTAATGTAAAGTCTCACTTTATGAAGCTTTGTATCCAGTCTATCCGGTCATGTAATGTAGGTAATAAAATTCTCTGCTATAATGAATGGTTTCCTTTCCAGGAGTGCTCAGGTGATTCTCATCAGTTTCATCCTTCATCGTCTAATCTGTTTCCAGTCTTCCTGTTGTCAGAGGGCATAAAGCACAAACATTTCAAAGTCCGTGCCGACGAGGAGAATAGGCGCTGCAGTGTCTCAGTGGTCAGCACTGTACAACACTTTCTGTGTTGAGTTAGCATGTTCGCTCCATGACAACTTTCCGCACCCCAAAATAATGCATTTTAAGTAATTAAGCCTTTGGAGAATACTGCTGCTATTGACCAAGACACTGGCCTCAGAACTGTTCAGACATAATTAGGATGGGTCAAATGCAGAACAAAATTTCCCCACAGGAACTCATAAAATATCACTTAACTCAACTAAATTGCATAATAAAAGCCATTACATTTCAGTTTAATAAGTTTGGAGGTACACGACCCTATGGGGAAAAAGACGAGGAGAGGACATACAGTTTCAGAGAGGTTTAGGATTTCTAACACTATCTAAATGCTAAATACTGAACAAGTCATGATGATATGTGTTGCTGGTTCTGACTGCCAATATTTGAGTCTAAGAATGAGAGCAGCCATGCTAAGTCACATTTAACACCATCGTTCTTCCCCTCTTTGAAGGCGTTAGAGTTCAGTGGAGGGAGAAGGAGAGGGCTGAAGAAAGGGACTGGAGGTCTGCCAGATGAATGGACAGTTGAATAGTCCCTCCAGTCCATAGAAAGAACATAAAGTTTGGACTAAAAGCTGACTGTGCTATCTCACAGTAAATCACATTCAATCCTGCTCCTATTTGTTCTTTTGTGTTTCTCTTCCCCTTTTTCTTTGGTACCCAACAAAATAAGGGGAGACATTCAGATCTGGCTCTCTTCCTGTTCAATCATCTGTCACGTGGATGGATTGCGATGAAAATGTGGGTTCATAATGACACTGACACTGACTGAATAAAACTCAGCAATTTGGTATTACAAAGCTGTATCATTCAGTCATTCATTCATCAATAATGCATGTTACATCAGACATTACTCAGCCTTTTGTGGCAGTATGTGTGGTCAGGATCTAGCCTGAGCCTTTCAATTTATAAAATGAATCTGAAGGGGCCATGGTAAAGTTAATTTAAATTAATAATTAATAATAATTAACACATCAGAGTTGGCATTTGTTGCACATGGTTATGAAAGAATGACAATATCTGTTCATAGAAAAGTAGGAAAATGTAGTGAGGGAATGAAACTGATAGATGTTGCCAGCTTTAACACAAAAACATTCACGCAGAAATACAAAAAAACAGCAACAACAAAGAGCAACAAAAAGTGACTCACCTGTATGTTGTCAAAGGATGTTTTGTTGGTGACATCATACAGCAGAAGGAGAGCTGAAAGAAACAGAGAAAGTGTATCATTTCAAAATTCATATCTATAAAGCATTTTATCGTGTAAAACAGTTTGATGGAAAAAAATAATTCTCGCCAAATATTTAATTTAGTCTTTATTCTTGATGATTTCAGATTAAATTATGAAATAGTTTATTTTCACTCTGAGCACAAGGCTGATTAATTCTGTAGTCTCTCTTGTCCTGTGACACATTTAGAACTCAGACAGACCAGAGGTCAGACTTTAGCTGGTAAACTGACAAAGCCTTTTATTCAGCATCTGACCTGTTGATGCAAAACATGCCGATGACATTGGTTAAACCTCATTGAGGATACATTTGAGTGCTGGTTTGAATTTGCCCCATCTATGGCACTACTGTCAACATGGCTGCACTAACAGGACTCCAGTTTTCACACTGTGAATCAGACTCTTCCTTCATTTATACAAACCTGTTTTAAACCCTGTGGAAATCACTGTGAAAAAGATTAGTTTTCATGCTGTGTTTTTTTAATTAATCAAAAACAGATAAATAAGACCAATTAAAGCACTACTCCACTGAGTTAGCACTGCACCCCTATACCATTTAGAAATTTGGACAGTTTAGGAAAAAAAAGTATCAAAATAGATGCAGCTCAACCAGAGATATCCACACATTCTTCTTCCTTGTCAAAACCTGGTGTCTACATTACCCACAATGCAAACTGATCACCGGCAGTTCAGTGAAAGAGATTTCGGAACATCCACTTGCCCGCTATATAGCGACACCATGGTCAATCAGCCATTTTGTAGTGCTGTTCGAATTTTCAGCTGTAACTTTCATCCCCTATATAGTGCACTACTGAATTGTCACGAGCCCAACAAAATGCAGTGTACAGAAGCTGTACACTATAACAACAATGGGCCAACCACTGCTTTAAAAACTATGTAATTAAAAAAATAAATAAAAAAAGATAAATTACATTTTATTGTTCCTGAGGGGAAATTTGTCTTGGGAAATAGTGCGATTCATACAGTCTGAACCACTTAAAACAACAGAAAGTGACAAAACGTACTGATAGCATATATTTCAATGTCTTTTGGCTCACACACGTGATGCAGATGCTCTGCCATTTGTTTACGCAATAGAGATAATAATTATGAATATCCAGTGCTTATTATGATCATAATTAATGTAAAATAACACATTTAAGGTGCTTATATAACCGATGCGATCACCTGAGCACCATCTTAATCTGGCGAGTAGATATACTGTAGTATTAAACAGTTGTGTGTATTCTGTAGGTGTTCCACTTTACAGAGTGAGTAAGGATGAAATTGAGTAGATGAGAGTGAAAGGACCTTTTGAACAGACGCCTCAGTCCATGCCCCTTTATCTATGAGCAGTTCACCTGGGGAGTGCAGGTATTCGAGAGGCAGTGAGGGGCTGTGCAGCTGAGAAACAGGCGGCCCAGGAGGGATGAGCATGATACAGACTGACAGCTGTGTAATAAAGCTGAGCTCTAGACTAGACTTGTCCTGGAGGTGCTTCTCAGTCCTCTGCTATCTGTTATCACTCAATGGTTGAAGTCAGGACATGGAAAAATCATAAACTGCTATGACTGTTGCTGTGTGTGTGTGTGTGTGTGTGTGTGTGTGTGTGTGTGTGTGTGTGTGTGTGTGTGTGTGTGTGTGTGTGTGCGTACTTGCAGATTCTGTGAGGTCTATTAAACATCCTCTCAAAAAGCTGTTTTTTATTAATAACGTTCCTGTATCTGTAAAAGGTCAGCCTCTTTTGTTATTTGTGAAAAATTAGATAACCAAATCACTCATTTGTAATGTGTGTAAAATATACGGGCCAACCATTTTCTTTTGAGCACCGGAAACAATGGATTCAATTCACGAAGTCTCATTATACTTGAGATTTACTGGCAAATGGAACAGTGAAATTGAGGTTTGGATGAGGAGGTGAGCAGAGACAGCGATTGCAGAAGAGAGAAAGACTTGATGTGAAAAGGAAGAGCAGTAGCAGGAATAAAAAGCAATACAACAGAGGAGAAAGAGCTAAATTGGTGAGACACTTTAAAGGTGAAAAGGAGGACAGCCATGAAGAGAAAAGATAAAACACAACACAGATGGAAGTAAGGCTAAAGCGAATTGAAGAAAACTTTATGATGAGTACATTCTCTCTTCTTCACATTTTAACTCTCTCTTTCCTCTCACACAAACACTTAATTTCCAACCTCACAGCTTTACATCATATGGTCTAATTTTTTTATTTTCCCTGGTGCAGCATACATTGCATGAATCTTTTCATAATTCAATTTTCAATTTGAACTTCACCGTTTTTCATTAAAATATCAAATGCATTATGAAGCCTACAGGAATTACAATGTTAGAACATCAAACATTACAGCCTTTTTTAGACAGTTTATGACAAGCAAACACTCAGGCAAACAATAGTTTTTGTTAATAACCTTCTATGAAACACAAATGCGCTACTCGTTGAAAAAACAGATCGTTCAGTATTCCTTTTAAAGCACTGAAATATTTATGATTTTCCATTTCCAAAAGTACAATCTGTTTGCAGCAAGGAAACACCAATACAATCTGTTGTTTTAGTGGGCATGGAGCTCATTCATATGTCACTTGAAGATGTTAAATTTAGCATAATGTTAATAAATGTACTAATTTTACTGGATTTGATCATTTGTAGTGCAGAAGCATGTGAACTGGATTAACTTGTAACTAGATTTATAGATCAGCCCTGGTTTCCCCAGATTTAATCAGGTACTCTTGCATCCAGGTCACTGGCTGAGTCATGCGTCAAATGATTAGTTTAAAAGAATGTGAAAACAAAAACAAGTCAAAGACCAAGTGAAAGGAAAAGATTGCACAGGGTGCATTTTAATTTCACTTATTTTGAGCGGGAAGCAAATCTGCGTTTTCCATAGAGATCAACAATAGAGCTCAGGTCCTTCTTTCTAACCAGAGGCTTTCGTCAATCTCCAATGGGTCAAACGAACAGTTGTGTAAAATCACTTTGTGAAAGGAGACTTTCGAATAATATTGCAGATTCACTGTTGTTTCATCCATGACACTGCATGCTTTTTTTTGTTGGGATTAAATGTTTTGCAAAATTTTATTTTTAAATCCAAACTGCATTTCTTCTTTGTGTTTTTTGCCTGTTTCATTTTCTTCTTGTAAACCAAGATAAGCCTCCTGAAAACTGAGAAAAATAATAAACAACAAAAAAAAAAAGATTGACTGTCTACACTTTTTCTCCCACACAGCAGATACACGGACTATCCACCACCATCTATAATAATCCTCTCTACATGCCTCTCTCACTGTGTCCTCTTCCAGAGCCTCTCCTAACTCACAGTCCCTCCGCCCTCCCACATTCATCCTCTCTGTGGATGCACTGGCACTTTAGCTCTGGACTCTCTCTGCCTGCAGCTCTGCTTTGGCCCCAAAAAAGTTATGGCGACGGCAATTAGCTCCATTTATCATTCTCCACCTCGGCCTTGTGGATGAGTGAGCGCTTGCAAGTTGTGTGTAAATGGGTTTAAGGTCATGAAAGTTGGGCTGTCAGGCTTCTCTAAACTGAGCGGCCTGCAAATCCTTTACTGCACCATAATCTCACTGTCAGCGGCTGAAACATCAATCTTGTTGCATATAAATATAACAGTGGTAAACCATAAAACTGTTACACTGACCCACGGCTGGTCCAAGTCCTTTTGCGACCCTAAGCATAATTTGAATTGTGCCTTGTAGAATTAAACATAGTGGCCTCAAATTATCATCATTTATTATCAACAGCTTGAGGCATTGTCAGACTTGGCAATTATTTTCTTGCCAAAATCACAGCACTGTACACTGGTGTTGCTAACCATAGCTGTAAAATGTTGCTGGACACTGGTTTAGCTCTCATCCAGGAGTCACTAGCATAGTTTCCATCTAAATTTAGCACAAATTGAAAATGAATTTCCAGATATTTGGCAAAATAAAATGCTATTTGTTGCTTATCTGTGTCTACAACCATTATGTAACATTAGCAGTTGGGAGCATTGAGTTAAGTAGTTGGTTCAGTTAATTCATAAGTTGTGTGCCATTGAACTATTTCAGGTTTTTCCACTTAAGTTTGCTTAGCTTAGGCACAAATTAAAAGTGCATAAAAAAAAACAGACCTATTCATCTTGGTATTAAATTACTCTTTAAAGGGACCCTGTGGAGTTTGGACAATTAGTAGTGTTTTGGAGCAATGTTTTTAGGGTGGGTCCCTGTTTTTTTTTTTGTATGTGGATTTGGGCATCAACATTCACATCCTGTCATTGGTTTCACGCTGTTTCGCTGATCGACAGTTGATGGCAGTAAACGCACCAATGAACTCACCAATGTGGCATGAAAGGCAGTGGAGGGAAAGACTTAAAACTGATGTAAACAATGCAGGATTTTAAATATCTAAAAAAAACTGGAAAAAACAGCACATAACATGTCTCTTAGACCTCAAGCAGTGCACGATGCATTTTGGTGAGAAACATTGAATGTAAACATAATTCATGTTTGTTTATAAGAAAACTCCACAGGACAACTTTGGGTAATTAGAATCGATCAATGACCTTATCACATCATTGTAATTAGATTATGATCATTAAGAATGAATGTGCTACAGGACATAAAAATGTTACTTATAGCACCTTTAATCTTCCTGCATACAGCTTGGGTGTATCATCATTAAATTCTACATTAAAATAAGCAGCATTACCGCTGACAATTATTTTTTTAACCCTCTGCCACACAAAGCATTTAAAGATTCATACACAATTCATTCCATGGCTTTGCCCAGGGTCAGCTGATGTAAAAAGATGTACAGTGCAGCTTTAAGCAGGGAAGAAAGCCACGAGGCTTACTCTGAAACCTGCAACGGCTGTTTGATAAGCAGTGACATGATAAGCTCACTGCTGAGAAACAAGGAAGGAAAAAAAAAATAGGCTTTTTGTTTGTTTTTAGAGGTTTTGGAAGGCTCACAGAGACCGACAGTCCAGGGTGAACACGGTATGCAGGCAGATCAAAATGTACTGTGCTTCCGTTTGAACAAAATACTGAAAGCTGAACAAACCACCGTAGCTCTAGTACAGGGCTTGAGAGACTTCAAAAGCTCACTGACTGTCTGTTGCTTCAACAGGGGTTTGTTCAGGTTAGACTAAGTCGCAGTGAATCACAGTCAGCAACATTTATAGGCTTGGTATCTACATGGGTGTTCAAGTGATGACTCAGCTGTTACTGTGATACTGCAATTAGGCATGGAACTGTATATATGAAACTGTCAAACTTCTTACACGGGCTGTAAAAAAAAGTTGCATGTTCTGTCCCATGTTAAATATTTGTCTCCAGTAATGCCAGAGACCCAGAGGCTATTTCTAATTTCTAATTCATTTCTCACTCCAGCTCTTATGACAGAAAAGTGAGGAGGTGATCAACATTTTAAAAAGGTCACATCTCTGATAATTAGGATGCGTGGACCTCCTTGATGTAGCACTGTGCTCTGTGGTATAGATAGTGCAACTGGCTGGACTCATCCTCTGACAGGCTTTGCGGTAATAATGGAAAAGTGATTGAAAATCCTGACACAGAGGTAGGTATAAGTGTGTAAGGCTACACTCCAAAGTTGTGAGGTGTGGTTTTTCAGAGGATGATATGCTCCCTAGGCGTCTTGCCTGAAACTGGCTCTGCTAAAAGTCCTCCAGGGTCCCTTTCCTCCAGGAGATGGACACAAATAAATCCTGCTGTAATTATGCAGGCTGATCGCCAAACCATGACATGCATAATGAGGATAATACACAGACACAGATCATTTACACTCACTAAATCATGTATGCATGTAGTCGCTGACACACACAGAGAAAAACTTCCACTGCTTAAGTTAAAAAAATAAATGGATTATACAGACACACAGTCCAGATGGTAAAACTTCCCTTTGATCACACAGGGATTCCTGACTGCACAGAGATTAAAAGACCACTTCAAGTTATGCATTCTCAATACATTTTGGGGGTGGGGGGTGGCAAAATGACAAATACACACTGCAACATCGTCTGAATATCAAGTGCCAAAGACGAACCAGAGCCACCATTTTCACAAAAGCTGTACTGCTCTGTTGGGTACAAAAAGCAATTCATATAAAGCAGTGAAGTGTGTGTGTGTGTGATATGGGAACATGATACTACCGTGAGAAAACTGCATGTACACTCTGTAGTGCACCTGGTCCTGTATAATAGCTTCACCGTCCTTGACGCTGTATATGTGTAATACTTGGCTTTCTCACACACAAACTCATCTGGATGGTGGAAAAACAAAGATAAAAGCTGAGTTACCAGATCACAATATGCTTTTTTACTGCTCAAGATTTTTGGGCCCTTACACACCATCTTATGTGCATTTGATTCATTTCCAAAAAGCACTTCTGCCTCGATTATCAGCTTTGTAAGAAACCGATGGAGTGTTACCACTTGCGAACTTGCGTGGCTAATAAGGATATCATGATGAATAAAAAGCAGGTATACACACAAGCAGGCTCATATGCAAACACGAACCCATCGGTGATGACTGATTACAGATCATCAAAGGGTGCCTTGAATCCCGAACGTGTTGTCCTTCCATCTCGGGAGAAGAGTCGTAAAAACCTCAGCGCTTGATAATACTGCACAGTGGAAGAAAAACAATCTCATCTGCACCTCGACACTAACACGGCTGTGAATTATAACTGGAATAAAACTTTATTTTCACGGCAAAGCAATGGGTCAAAACAAACTTCCCTAAAACAGATTTTCACCGTACCTTTATGCACACAAAAAGAACACATGGTACACACTCTACTCAAACACTGATGTAATATGCACATTGTAAATGATGGATTGGCTGAATCCACACACACACACACACACACACACACACACACACACACACACACACACACACACACACACACACACAACATCAGCATGTCGAATGTGAAAGTGTGAACTAAAAACAATAACTTTTCAGCTAAGAAAAGGCTGAATCTGCATTACAACTATCACAAAAGTGTATTCTAGTGTGTGTGTGTGTGTGTGTGTGTGTGTGTGTGTATGTGCAAGGGTCTCACCATGGGCGTCACGGTAGTAGGCATGAGTGACACTGCGGAACCGCTCCTGTCCAGCTGTGTCCCAGATCTGCAGAGAATGAGAGAGGAAGGTAATCACTGACAAGAGAGACGTTTCTATCTTTCTAATAAGTATTCTGCTTGCTCTGTCACTTTGCTGAAGCTCATTGTCAAACCATCCATTCAATTTACTCCTGTGATAGGTAAGGATATAGGATAGGATAAGTCTGGAAAATGGAAAACGAAATGGGAGACAGGACTATTTGAATTCAGCCCTGAAAACTATGCTGTGCTTAAAGCTGCATTCATTGATTTATTTGGTCACTTGGGGGCAGCGCAGCAAGCTACAGTATATTATCACTGTCAGGTTATTATGGCTAATGTATGAAGGCTTGTTTATGTACATATCTGGCAAACACACAGAAACATTTTACTAGCATTTATTCGGAGCAGTGAGGAATTTAAGTCCAACACTCACTCTACTTACAGCTCTCCTTTAGTCTCTACTGAATCCTGATGGAAAGTTTCCGACTCTTTAGCTGCTAAAAGCTCCACTGAGTTCATCAGCTAGGCGCTAACTGTGTCTGTCTGCTGTTTGGTGCTGACTGTGGAGCATGAAGTGAGTTTATCAGTACTGTTTTTTTGTTTTTTTTTGCTGAAAACAGCAAAACACGGTTGAAGAGAGTGAATCAAAACAGTGCAGTCGCAGACTGTAAAACTAAAATAATGAGCCGAAAGTTGCTAAAATGGTCTGTAGAGCTGTGGTGAACCACAGTTGATAATTCTCTGTGGGTTCTCTCCTTTCACATTACACGTTGTAATTTGATCTATTGTTAACATACAAATATGGATTACTAGAGCTTTAAGGTCACAGCTCATTCTGCATATTTATAGCATGGTTAAAAAAAACAAAAAAAGCCATTAAGTTCTGATTAACTGGTGCTTAAGCCATAATTGATAAGTTTGCTTTGTATTTGTCCTTTCTCATTTTTAGCTCAGTCTGGATCATGAATGAAAATCAGCTGTGGTCGATACCATTCCTCTCATTGTCCAACAGCAGTGGAATTGGGCTAATTAAGTGCATCTTTGTTCCCCAGCAGCCAAAACTGTTTCTCATCGCAATTTGGCTCCAATAGCAATCACATTGTCTCCTAGACCTAAAGCAGACCTGCACAAGCTGAGTCACTTAGTTTTTGCATGATCAACATTACCTTTATTTTTTTTCTAGCCTGTCACCTGTTTGGATACAGGCATTGCCATTCCCTTTGCATGCCTAACCACTTTCCTCTCTCTTCCTCTGCTCTCTGAGACTTGTCAGCTCGGATGCTGGCTCTGCCTCCTGATTTCCCCCTGGGGCAAGCGTCCCCCCAGGATCCAAGTGGCAGTAATGAAGAATGGCAATTACAGGAGGAAAAATGAACTCTCTCTCTGTGTTTGTAGGCTACAGGCTGCTCTGCAAACTGACTTTAAGCCAATTAACCCCAAATGAATACATCACAGAGCAAAGGCCCACTCCACCAGCCTCCGTCAACCCCTAATTAAGATCATTAGGGATGATTCACATAATTACTTGCAGTGTTTGACAGCAATATGAAACACACAACAATGTTGAGTTGTTCTCAGTATGGGCGCCAGTTCTTAAAAAAAAAAAAAGTGAATGAGGTGTGGAGAAGGGAAGAAAACTCAAAGCCTAATGGAAAGTATTCATGGAGATGGATAAAACCTAATTATCTTTCAGCGGCTTTTTGTCTCCAGATCATTGACTGTCCTCACAAAATAAGGCCACAGACAGGGCTTTACTTAATTATGTGCGATTAGTAAAAAAGTAAAAAAAAAACAAAAGGCACTGTTAAACCAGTGGCCCCTTGGGACAAAGTATAGTATGTACAAAAGAGAAAGCAAAGACATAAAGAGAAACAACAGAATGTCTGTTTGGAAATTTGCTCCAACATTTTTGAAGTGGTGAGGACTCGCCCGCCGTGTGAGCCCGGGGGTCATCTCAGCGGCTCACAGTTTGGTTCCTGAGGTGACTGGGTAGTCAGTGTGTGGGCGTCTTATCTCTGCAAGGCATTTGGTAATTTACCGCCTAGCTCTGTTGTCTGTATTATTTGAAATATGTTATTCAATTAATAATTAATCATTCTTTTTAAAAGGGAAATGCAGTCTCAGAGTTGAAGTGTAATATTTTTTGCTGAAAGTTTGTCTGAAGGTAAAGCTTAATACATGATACATACATGTTTTATTGAACACTTTAACAACAGCGCTGCCTCTGTGGTTCTTATATGTACAGATGTATCACCACATTTTAAATGAAAATAAATATAAAACATGAATATAAACAAAAATGAACAGAGGCAGTGTGGAAAATATTACATTTCCCTTTTATTTTCAATATATAATAATAAGTGTTTCCCCTTAGTGTCCTGGAGCACTTCTTGTGTAGCAGTTCTTGCATGTGTATTCCCTTTTTGCATGTGTTTTCATATTTGTTGCATTTCTGGATTTGTAGTGCATTTCCGTTAATGTTTGTGCTTTTACTTGTGTGTGTGTGTTTTGGGCCACCGTGAAAATGTTTTTTTTCTCAGAGAACTTGGAAGACAGGGGAGCTTGGAAACAGGATTTGACAGGCGGCCACAATGCGACAGAGGGAAGAGCCTCATTCTTATGTGGTTGGCACCTTTCTTTTGATATCTATTGAAGATATCTGTTTTTGTATGACTGTCATGATAAATTAAAGCTCTTACCTGGAGCTTCACCTTGACTCCATCGATGTTCAGGACTTTATTCTGGAAATGAAAGCAAAACATAACAAGAGACGGTGCTGAAATTTAAGCATTTTTCCAACTAGCAACAACGTTTTCAGTGTGTGGAAGGGTTAGTGTGTGTGTGTGTGTGTGTGCAAGTGTGTGTCTCTCTGTGTGTGTTTGTGGTCAGACACCTATCTGAACTGTCTCTTCCTCTCATCTTCCCGCCACACTCTTCTCCCCTCTCTCTATCAATATTGCATGTCTCCACCTCACTTTGGCCCCTTTTGATGAAGCCTCGCCTCTTCCCTCCAGGGGATTAACCCACTCTGCTCTCCTCACCTCCCGCCATCTCTTCATTTCGAGGGAGACATTCCTCTGATCTCAGCTTCGATCTGCTCCACCACACAGCAGAGTGAAGCTCAGCTAAATGGACGTGCAGTTTCCCAGGTCAGAGGTTGACTCTGTCTTGAGAGCTGAGTTCACAAAGGTTCAACAACCTGTCGTCAAATTAACTTCAGTCTAAATGATGACAGGATTTGGTTTAAGTTAAAAATATCTCGACCTGCACAGGGGAGCCATTCACGTCATTGATCGACATCAGTCATCTTCCCACGAGAGCAGTACATCTTATTGATCTACACTACACTTTTTAATGGTTCCCCTCTTTGTGGAGAGATTTAGAACAGCAGCTAATGATTTTTTTTCATTGTCAATTAATCTGCATCATTTTTCTCGATTAACTGATTCATCATTTTGTTTAGTGAGAAAATAATGAAAAATGTTCATTATATTTCCCTGAGCCCAAAGTGGCGTCTTAACAATCTGTTTTGTCAACCCAAAGAGGGTTTTTTATCATATATAGCAAAGAAAAGAAGCAAATATTCACTGCTGAGAAGCACAAATCAGAAAATGACTAGTGTCTTTGCTTGATCAAGACCTCAAGTCCAGGCTGGGGGGCCTTTGGGTATCCTTGTTTTTATCCTGTCACTTTGTCATCTGTGCTGTGACTGCTGTCTGAAGCAGCTGATCTGCCAGCTCAAACCCCTGGACAGAAAAAAGGTAAACCCCTTGAGCCTTGAATTCCACCCATTATGAATCAAAATGTGATTGGTTAATTCACCTGCCACTTTCTAAACAAACACATGTGGCTATGGGGCCTTCAGGCCTTCTGTCCTGGTTATGCAATTCTAACCAATGAGAGAGTCAGCTAACCTTTTCTCCACCTAGAGACAACAAATTAGAAAAATCTGATGGGATAACTATATTTTCATGGTTTTAGGACAGTAACTGTAAAAGGCTAAAATTCGTATTAGGAGAGAGTAATTATTAAATGAAAGAGATTACAGATAACATTTAAAATGCTGATATGTTTGACATTCACTGAAGGCCTAGAAGGCCCTGAGGGTCCCTCACTGGTGTAGAACGGCAGCTTTCCATATCCTTCTTGGACATCGACATCAAAACATCTTTCACCACATGCGTTGCCATTTTCTATGAGCCAGTGACTGCTCCACAAAAGAGCAGGTCAAGATGTTCTTCAGTGACCCACATACAGGCCTTCCCATAGAACTGCGTGGATTACTTCACCTGGTGCCACAGCAACGCTCAAAACCTCCCCTTAACATGGTCTCCTCTGAGATGCTCCTGAAAACCACCGCTGACCTTCTAATGCTGCGATCCCCGAGGAGAACCAGAGGATATTCAACTCTGACAAAATGCTAATCTCTCATCAGAGCTCTTAGAAATAGATACGGCCTTCGTTGACGTGTTGATTTACCGCTTCTTGAGTCACAAAGGAGGGATCTCATACATATTCACGGGCAAGTCGAGCTGCGAGCTAGTTTGTAATGTGCTTTGTAGTTTGTAGTGTGCTCTGATAGGAATCAGAGTCTCAACAGACTTCCTCCATGTTGTTGCTGTCACTAAAAACAACCCACAATGTGCCTGTAGGCTTCATAAATATTTAGTGACCCAGAAAAAGAGGCTCGTGATTGCATCCTGGTGAGGATTTTGGGTGGTTAGCCAGGCTTGATTACGTCGATTATTATGTTGGATTTGTTAAGGAGGAAACACTTGAAATCAGCCGGAACAGGACACAACAACTCAGATTTAATAAGCTTGGGGAGCGTGGACTGAGCAGGATAAAATGTAACTCAGCAGCTTATACACATGAGTCTACTGTGGAAGACAGGGGGAATCAAGGTACTGTAGATTAAAGACTGTCAATCACACACTTCCAACAACACTGTCTCCACTTCACTTTAAAAACTTTCTTAAGCTTCAACCTTTTTCAAGCCGACACAGCTCTTCTCTGTGTAGTCGCAATTTGCTTACAATTTACAGAGCAGAGGCTGAGAAGCTTGCACCACTTTCAGGTCAATTTCAATCCCTGAGGTGCAGCAAACACCCTCCAAACAGAAAACATCTTCAAATACAAACTGCTCTACTTACAAGCCAGACACTGGATGTTAACCATTTAATACCCTGCCTGCCCCCCCCCCCAACCCTCGAAGGTACATGAGTGAGAAGGAACAGTCGGTACAGAGTGACTCAAACATCACTTCTCAGGGATCATAAATTACAAATGTATGAGGAGCTTTCAGAGGGGCCCGTGAAGTGTGAGTCAATAAAACATTGATGGCAGAGGCGTGAGGCAAAGAACAGAAGCGTGATGGCCACGAAAAGGATGTGTATGACACGAACTCGCGGCGTTGATAATGAGAAAGAGGCTGTATCATGTTGTTCCTCAATGTCTCTCCTTTAGCTCCGAAGGCCTCGGCACACGTTAGAAATCAAAGCAGTGGGGGAAATAAACGACATAAACGAGGGCAGGGGTATACGGAGAGGCAGGGCGCGCTACTCTGCAGTCAACCCGACTCCCGGCTGTCAAGTTTCCTAAGTCATGCTGACAAAGAAGTATGCGCGCACTCTCGCGTACTGTACTAAAAAACATTCAGCCCCTTCACCCTCCCTGTGCGCTACAGAGTGGCACATGTTTTATCAGCTGCTCTTCAAAGAGGCTGGGTGATGATTATGATGACAGATCGCCCACTCCATATCAATTAAAAATTACTCCTCTTTCTCCCCTCCTTCCCTTCCTCTCTGTCTATCTTACACCCAATTCAATCTCAGGTCCAAACAATCTTATGCAAATTTAGTAACCTGCAACTGGTGCACCTTAGTATCAAGTAGACGTGTTGTAGTTGCACTTACTGCTATGGGTTTAATGCCAGTAGCTTACAGCCTGCATTCATGACGTGTATGGCTGTGTGACTATTATTGTTTTAATTTAATTTTTAAGATACTGTTGTCGTGGTTGGACACTGTGTGAAGTGGAACCTTTCTAATGTGGCATATATGCAGCAGACGCCCCCACCTATGTTATTTAAGAGGCTGATTACAGATACTCCATGGTTGTTAACTTCAGACCTCTCTCCTCTCGTCTAGTCTCGTCTCCTCTCCTCCATCCTGGATACAGCCTTGTCAGCATTTCCAAACCACAAGACACTCTTTTACAAATACTTTCAATTAAGATGCGCTGGATATTCTCCTGGTGACAGAGATAGCCCAATAAATCACATTACACCAGACCCACAGATAATGCAACCTATAGACACTATGGGATTCATTCATTGACTGGCTATACTTGCTGACCCTGTGCATGAAGCAGAGTGGCCATAGCTCATGTGGTTACCATGATTTCAGCTAGTAATCAGCTGGTAATTTCAGGAGCCTTCCTGTTAATGGGCTCCCTCGCTTGGGTGACTCGGGTGAAGTTAGATACAGACTAATTGAAAGAGCACTGGGCTTTAGGGCTTCAACAACTGCACCGCTGCAAAAAAATGCAGGTTGGATGATTCATTTCTATGAGACCACAGCACTGGTAGAGCAGGAGAGCTGCTGCAGAAGAACACAGAACAAACCAAACCAAAAAAATAAGATCAAATAAAACTGCAACATCATCTGGCACCGCAAAGCATTGCCTAATATGTACGTTATGCAAGAACACAATCCAGACACAATACCTTGTACCGTGTACTTTGTGGCATCACTTTTTCTGTGCCTCACTTAGCTGAATGGCACTCCAGAGTGTAAAGCCTTAATATTTGACATCCAGGAGTCTGCTCTAAGAAGCAGGTTTACTGATTTACCTGGGTAACTCTGTGCACTTTTTTACATCAGTCCATGTTTCAGATTAAAGCTCCTTCTTGGAAAAAGCCACTGCTTTGTATTTGATCTTTTACCTGTAACCTGTAGCAACACGTTCACACCAACGCAGACACTTGCTGGGATCCAAACATGCCTTTTGGCAGTACACACACACACACACACACACACACACACACACACACACACACACACACACACCCATGGTAGGCACCCACACACACACAGCATTTTCTGATGCCGTATCACAGATCCATTATTCAGCGGAATACTGTGAGACTAAGCCTTGACCTCTCTGAAGCTCTTCCCCAGGATCTTTTCACATGCTGGCCTGATACAAATCAAAATGGCAGCACAACAGTGTATGGTTGTGTTTGTTGTGACCATGTTTGGTGGTGAATAATGTGGCTGATTCACAGGACAGAGCAGGCTGTGGGGCAAGCTGTTGGCCGGAACTCCAACATCTCTTGCCTGTCCTTCGATTTTTATGACATTCTTTTCTTCAGCTTTCCTCCTCTGCCATTTAGACATGAAGATACAAACACACACACTGTACAGTTTGTTTTACACTGTCAAGAAAGCACGCACACACGCACGCACGCACACACACACACGTGCAGTGCATGCTAACACAGCCGCTACAAGCGTGGCCAAATTGAAAATGTCTATCTCCCCTCTGCCCTCCCTCTCATTTTTCTCCAAGAAGCCCTTTTATTTATTTCGGTCCAGTGTCATCACAGACTTCTACAATGAATATCTGCCAACACATATGCTGCTCAGATTTATTATTTTCTGAACTGTTGAGACACATTTTCTGAAATGAGGCACCACTTTCTCAAATCACAAAACTAACACGAAGCAATGAAGTCCTG